GGAAATTTAAAACATTGTGTAAAAAGCAATCTGTACAAACATCTCCCGGCTTTGATTTTTGTACCATGGAAATTGTATTTAACCATACAGGGTTTTGGTATGTTTATATTGTTTACCTTAGTGATGTATTTGTTTAAGTGGCTAACATCCAAACGATTGTTTGAAGGCATCCGTAATCTTCAGTGTGGAATGTTAAATTACGCTTTTATACTGTATTTTGTACTATGATGTAACTCCCCTTCCTATGGCTAGGCTGCTGTAACACTTGCCTGTAATCAGTGAAGGGCTGTGCACCTTGTACTAGTTCACAATGGGTTCTGCTGGACAGACACTGGGGCCAGTGTTATTGAGGTAATGAAGCAAGATCTGTTCCACAGGGCTGAAGCCACCATCTCCCCCTTACAATTTTGTAGACGTTATAAAAAGAAGTGGTATGTTGTGTGATGATCAGCACTAAGTCCTATGTTCCCGTCAAAGCCACTTGGGCCATGAGAAGGGAGTGAAAATGAAGTCCGACTAGAATTCTACTGCAGAGGCCAAGTACATTTAGTATGGCATTGAGTTGTGATATAGTTTTACTTTGATGTGCATTTTGAATTTCAGCTACACCTAGATAGACGTAAAATGATAATTAAAATGCTGTAACCAACTTATCTAATAAAATTGGCACCCAGCCACTATTTTGTTGACTGAGAGAGTTTAAGTTTATGTTAATTTTTAGGGTCTAATAGAATATTTCATGTGTATTACAGTGGTATTCATATGCTGTCTCTATACTTTATTTTAAAAAGCTTAAGGCCCAAAATATAAACTTCTCTGGAATAAATGTGGTGTTTTATTTTCTGGAATATAAAGTGAACACATACTTCTTCACGAAATACTATTGTTTCTTTACCCAATGCTTATGATTTCTAAGCACTTTTATTTAAAAAAATTTGAACTAGAGATGCTTACACACGCGCGCGCGCACACACACACAGACACACACACACACACACAACTACTTTGCCATGATGGATGAGCGTACTTTAAACTCTTAATACACTATTCTATATGGAATACAAAATACCCTTACCTGAATTAACATGCATATGCATTAAAAATATATGTGTGTGTATACATCTATCTATCTGAGTGTATTGTAAAGAAAGCAACTAAGAAGCATCAACAATCAACTCAGTAGATATTGTATAAATTTGGTTTCAACCTTTACAAGCTAGAACCTGCTCATAATCCTTGGTAAATGGTTAGTTTTGCCCAGATGTCATTAATTGATACTAATTTAGCCTCAATTTCCCATTTGAAAGGAATCACTGACATTGATTCAATTTTCTATTCAGTTTATCATTAAGTTATAGGGATCTAGTTCTCATTCAAGTTACTTGAGTTTTTCATGTCTGAATATCTTATCAAAAAATAGTGAAACTGGAGAATGTTGATCTAAAATCTTAACACAAGGCATGTAATAAATATTATTGGTTAATGTTTATAAACATTTGAATAGTCCCTTAACTTCCAAAATGAAATTTAAAGCCAAAGGTATAAAAATCTTGCATTTCCTTGCCAGAGGCTTTTTTCCTCAAAGATTCCTTTTAGGCTTACTTTGGCGTTCAGGTTCTCCAATTATAAAGGTAGTCACTCATTTCCACGTTCCGTAAGGATGATTTCCCCAGTACTGGTGTTTGGCTAAGTTGGTCCAGAGTCTTAGGGTGCAACCCACAGTTAGCAAGCTCCTCACGAACAGTCTCCTGTGGGAATTGGTACCAGTCAGTGAAAGCACACCAGCCTTTCTGAACACTCAGTTTTTAATAGTTACCATGGGAACTCGGACACCAATGCCTTCATACTATTCATTATCAACAGAAGTTGACTTGAAGAATTTCTGCATAGTTATAACTTCTAAATAAAACCTAAAAAACGTCAAAATTAAAGGCCCTTTGTTAAATCCTCCTAAGTTGCCATTTTTTTTTGGTGGGGATAGTATTTAAGTCACTAAGTACAACAGCTTGAAATCATAAAACTTACCAGACAATAACAACTTATATAGATACATCCCTTCCTCTCAGAAATTATCATTGAAAATTAGTAAATACAATTAACTTGAAACAGTTTGGCTCATAAGTAACTTCCTTCACCTGCTCTGAGGAAACAAAGTCTGTTTCCAGCTCTCCACTTACCTTTCCCAGTACTTTATCCACTGGTGGGCAGATGTTGAACACAGCAGTTGGCTCATGTGTATACAGTCCTGCAGAAAATGACCCACTCTGTGAAGATCCAAGTAGCATGGTCATAGCATGTAGAGAATGAGGCATGACAGGACCTGTGATCTCCAAGCTGAATTGATCTTTGTATCCAGAAACAACCTGTGTCTTCACATTTACACTTCGTGCCTTATAAAAAATGAAGGGGAAAAAATATGGTCATCTCAAGCTTCTGTCCCTAGCTTAAAACGTGGTCACTAACTTTTCCCTAGGATTTTCCTCTAAGTTATGGAACAAAAGTAGTGACATGAAGCGTGTATAAGAATAAAAACGCTTAGTAAATTGTCTCCAGTATCCTTTACTCCAAATTATGAGATTGTCAGTTTAAGTAAGTACATAAAATTTCTTCATATGGTATTCACTCTGATTTAGTAATACACTTTCGTTACAGAATATTGGTAAAACAAATAAATTGATTCTACAGCTACTAACATTCAGTATATATTTGTTTATATGTATAATTTTCAACAATATGGATATACAGGCACCCCTTGCAGATATTGTGGGTTTGGTTCCAGACCACTGCAATAAAGGGCGTACACATGAAAGCGGGTTGTAAACTTTTTGCTGGTTCAGGGTCTTGCTTTCAATTTGTAAAAAACGCAACATCTGTGAGTGCAATGAGGTCTACCTATTCAGTTAATCTTTTCACTTATTCATGATCCAGTTTTTGAGATAACTCAATATTCCTGCCTCTTGAGACAAGCGCCCTGGCCAGTGTGGGTCAGTTGGTGATTTAACTCCTGGTCAGGGCACATACCCCAGTTGTGACTTTGATGCCCAGTCGGGCCACGTGCAGAAGGCAATCAATTGATGTTTCTCTCTTAAAAAAAAAGAAATGAGACTTTTCTTTATGGCAAAAAAGATTAACACCAAAATTTTTGTTGCCAGTTTTATACTTGGTAAGAAATTTTGTTTTTATATAATTCATATATTTTCATGTAACTCCTTTGGTATAACTATATTAAATGATTTTTTACTGGGAGAAAAAAACAAAAAAGCAACATAAAAATGCAAATAAAATGTCAAAAATTTATCCTATCAAAAAAGAAAAAGTACTTTTTAAGAAGCTAGGTTACTGACTTCCAGTCAAAATAGCAGAGTAGGTGGGTGAACATTGTCCACCCTCTCCCACGACCACATCAAAATTACAACTAAACTAAAGAACCACCATCATTCAGAACCACCTGAAATCTAGCTGAACAAGTCCTACAACTAAGGACGGACAGAAGCAGCCACATGGAGACTGGCAGGACAATGAAGCTGCGCGCCAGCTGGTGGATAAAAGCCAGGATGGTGCCTCAGCTGCAGAGCTCCCCGCTGAGGACGAGGCCCCACTGGGCCAGGCCAGGGCTCTAATGCCAGTAGAGAAGTCCAAGGAACTTCAGGCTGTGGAACCCAGCAGATGTGGCTGAGACTAGCACTGCTGCAGGCCCAGGTGTTGCTCTTTAAGGGCCCACACATGTATTTCCTCGCTAAAAGGCTCACTTGTTCTGAGCGCCAGAGCTGGGGCAGAGGCACAAAGGCACCAGAGACATAGAGCCCACACCAAGACACATCCTAATTAAAGCACCAAGGGTTAAAGACAGACTCTTAAAAGCAGCAAGAGAAAAGCAGTTAGTTAGTTACCTGTAAGGGAGCTCCCATAAGATGGTCAACTGACTTATCAACAGAAGCTTTGTGGCCAGAGGCAGTTGGTATGAAATAATCCAAGTGATGAAAAACAAGGACCTACCTCCAAAACTACTTTACCCAGCAAAGCTTTCTTTCAGAATTGAAGAACAGATAAAGAGCTTCCCAGACAAGGAAAAGCTAAAGGAGTTCATTACTATCAAACCAGTATTACAAGAAATGTTAAAGAATTGCTTTAAGAGGAAGAAGAAAAAATATGAATAAAATAGCAATAACTATACCTACCAATAATTATTTTAAATATAAATAAATGGATTAAATGCTCCAACCTGAATGGATATTAAAACAAGACTCATGCATATCCTACCTACAAGAGGGCCACTTAAGATAGAAAGACACACAGACTGAAAGATATTTCATTCAAAGGGAAAAAAAAAAGCTGGGGTAGCAATACTTGTATCAGAAAAACTAGACCACATTTTTGTGTGTGTCGAAGTATCTTTTTAAAAAGTATATATTTTATTGATTTTTTACAGAGAGGAAGAAAGAGGGAGAGAGAGCTAGAAACATCAATGAGAGAAAAACATCGACCAGCTGCCTCCTGCACACCCCTTACTGGGGATGTGCCCACAACCAAGGTACATGCCCTTGACCAGAACTGAACCTGAGACCCTTCAGTCCGCAGGCTGACGCTCTATCCACTGAGCCAAACCAGTTACGGCCAAAATGGACTTTTAAAACAAAGGCTGTAACAAGATGGGATCCAGTGATTACACTTCTATTTATCTAAGGAAACCAAAAACAGTAATTCAAAATGACACATGTATCCCTATGTTCTGCAACATTAATAGCCAAGATATGAAAGTAACCCAAGTGTCCATCAATAGATGAATGGTGAAAGATGTGATACATACATAGAAGGGAATTAGCCATAAAAAAAAAGTGAAATCTTGCCATTTACAACATGGGTGAACCTTGAGTGTATCCTATATAATAATCCTATATAATAAAAGGGTAATATGCAAATTGACCCTAACAGCAGAATGACTGGTCACTATGACACACTGACCACCAGGGGAAGACACTCAATGCAGGAGCTGCCCTCTGGTGGTCAGTGTGCTCCCACGTGGGGGAGCTCTGCTCAGCCACAAGCCAGGCTGATGGCTGTCAGTACAGCAGTGGTGGTGGTAGCCTCTCCCGCCTCCTCAGCAGTGCTAAGGATGTCCAACTGCAGCTTAGGCAGTACAGCATTGGTGGTGGTAGCCTCTCCCGCCTCCTCAGCAGTGCTAAGGATGTCCAACTGCAGCTTAGGCCTGCTCCCCACTGGCAAGTGGACATCTCCCGAGGGTTCCCGGGCTGCCAGATGTCTGACTGACAGCTTAGGCCCGTTCCCCCCTGGGGAGCGGGCCTAAGCCAGCAGGTGGACATCCCCTAAGGGGTGCCAGACTGTGAGAGGACACAGGCTGGACTAAGGGACCTCCCTGAGTGCACAAATTTTTGTGCACTGGGCCTCTAGTTATGCTAATAAGTGAGATAAAGAAAGACAAATACCATCTGATTTAATTTATGTGAATTGAAAAAACAAAGAAAAACAAAACAGAAACAGAATAAACTGATGGTTGTAAGATGGGAGGGGGGAGACAGGTCAAAGAGGGGAAAGGATTAAGATGTACAATTTGCCACTTACAAAGTCACTGGGATGTAAAGCAGAGCACAGGGGAGACGGTCAGTAAGACTATAATACTGTATGGTGTCAGATGATCACTAGACTTATTGTGGTGGTCACTTCCTAAGTCATAGAAATGCCTAATCACTATATTGTACAACTGAAACTAATCTAATATTGTATATCAACCTTAACTGAAAAACAAAGAGATCGG